ATATGGAGCATCTACTAAAGATTACGTTTTAGTGATGGGACTCCAATATTACTGATTAATATTTACCTATTCCCCGAACCTAATAAATGCTTACAGACTCTAATATAAAAAAAGAATATTTACCCATCTGCGAACCATGATTATAGACACAAATATAACGAGCGTTATTTACCTATCCCAATTAAATTCAAATTCAAATTTAGATTCAAGTATAAACAACCAATATTTATCATTAACCCTAACCAAATAAATATTTACAGTCAAATATAAACAACCAAAGTTTATCTATACCCTAACCAAATAAATATCGAAACAGTCAAATATAAACAACTAATATTTATTATTAATCCAACTAAATAAATATTTACAGTCAAATATAAGAAACAATACTTAACATTCTCCCAACCTAATAAATATTTACACATTCAAATATAAACAAACAATATTTATCATTAACCGCAACGTAATAAATATTTAAACAGTCAAATATAAACAACCAATAATTATCTATATTCCAACCAAACCAAATAAATATGTAGTCAAATATAAACAACGAATATTTATCATTAACCTAACCAAATAAATACTTACACAGTTGAATATAAACAACCAATGTTTATCTACACCTTAACCAAATAAATATCGACACAGCCAAATATAAACGGCCAATACTTAACATTAACCCTAACCAAATAAATATTTACCCATTCAAATATAAACAAACAATATGTATCATTAACCACAACCATGTAAATATCAACACAGTCAAATATAAACAATCAATATTTATCTATACCCCAACCAAGTAAATATTTACACAGTCAAATATAAACAACCAATATTTATCTATACACCAACTAAATAAATATTTACACAGTGATATATACACCACCAATATTTATCTAAAAATCACACCAAATAAATATTTAGAAATATTTTCACAGTTAAATATAAACGGCCAATAATTAATATTAACCCAACCGAAATAAATATTGACACATTCAAATATAAACAACCAATATTTATCTATACTCCAACTAAATAAATGTTTACACAGTTAAATCTAAACGACCAAAATTTATCTATACCCCAACCAAAAAATATTTACACAGTCAAATATAGACAGTCAATGTTTATCTCTATCCCAACAAAATAAATATTTATGCAGTCAAATATAAACCACCAATATTTATCATTAATCCAACCAAATAAATATTTACACAGTTAAATATAAACGAGAAATGTTTATCTATACCCCAACCAAATAAATACTTACACAGTTAAATATAAACAAGAAATGTTTATCTATACCCCAACCAAATAAATACTTACACAGTCAAATATGTACCACCAATATTTATCTAAATCCCACCAAATAAATATTTACACAGTCAAATATAAATAACCAATATTTATCATTAACTCAACCAAATAAATATTTACAGTCAAATCTAAACTACCAATATTTATCTATATCCCAACCAAGTAAATATTTACACAGTCAAATATAAACAGTCAATTTTTAATTAAAGCCCAACCAAATAAATATTTACACAGTTAAATTTAAACAAGCAATGCTTGTCTATACCCCAACCAAATGAATATTTACACTGTCAGCTATAAACGACCAATATTTATCTATACCCTAACCAAATCAATATTTACACAGTCAAATATAAACTGCCAATACTTAATATTAACCCCAACCAAATATATATTTACACATTCAAATATAAACAACCGATATTTATCATTAACCCAATCAAATAAATATCTACACAGTTGAATATAAACAACCAATATTTATCAATACTCCAACCAAATAAATATTTACACATTCAAATATAAACGACCAATATTTATCTATGCCCGAAACAAATAAATATTTACACAGTCAAATATAAAGAACCAATATTTATCTATACCCCAACCAAATAAATATTTACACTGTCAGATATAAACGGCCAATAATTATCTACATCCGAATCAAATAATTCTTTACATAATTACATTTAAATAGCACATGTTTATCTATACCCCAACCAAATAAATATCTAAACAGTCAAATGTAAACGACCAGTATTTATGTGTAACTAATGTCATATTTGACAACATGGCTTTGTAGTCTTTGTTTACTGCTACTTCAGAAGTATAATTCTGACATGAGAAATGTAAAAAAAATCAGCATGAAACCCCTCACAAATAATAAGGAAAAGGAAGCTGAGGAGAGCAACAATCGTCTGTCATGTAGGGTTATGATATTATGAAATATTAGTTATATTATGAAAATCTGTTACTAATATTCGTGAAAAGTTTTTCATAAAAAATCTATGTATTACAATTATATATCCTTTATTTTGTTAATCGTCCCTATAATATCTATTTAATTTCTTGATTTTTTATCTTTAATATATTTTATTGTCCATTCAACATAAGTATTGTATTTTAGGTTCAAAATAATATATATAAAAGGATTTAATCACACCTGAGGCGTCTTTAACATTGTTCTCAAGTATATAATTTAAAAAAAAAAAATCTTCAATTTCTTTAAAACTAACGTTTTGTTAAATATATCTCTCTGCGTAATTCATTGTATCATAAACTTACGTTCATAACCGGATGTAAGCTAATGGTGACGCGTCTTAGACTGTCAATTCATCTAGATATGAATGAATAACACACCTACCCCTAACCTCTAATATATATTTCTCACTTTTCTGTCTTAGCCTTGACCCGTCTTTTGATTGGTTAACCAAGACATACCCACAAAATTTTGAAAATTTTCTCTCCTTTTTAACCCTTAAATAAGCTACCGTAGTGTTTTCTGTTTTCAAAAGTAAATCATTTTCATCATAAGTTACTGTTGTGTATGATACACCTAATTTACATAAGCGGACTACCGACCATATAAATATGGGTTGGTACCGGAAGACGGGGAAGATAGTAGAGATTAAGAAATTGAATCCAGAGACTCTGCCCGACTGCGATTTAGTCAACCCATTATGCAGGAACAGTCTTCCCAAGAATATACCAAACTAACTGTAAATATTGTGTACCTATTCTTTGTTTCAATACATTTTGTTAACGTACATTTTGTGTTGTATTATTCCATGCTTATTTAAGCTTCAACAGTTACCTAACATCGCCTGATGATGGAAGTGTTTTCAGATCCGAAACATAGACATTTTTATGTAGCGATGAAAAATATTTTTAAATAAAAATATTATTATATTCTACTATTCAGTGAGATTTGATAAATAGAATATTGGTTGTTTTATCACTTCTTGGAATGAAGAGTTTATCCTTTATTTGCAAACATTCAAACCAAATTTATTATAAAAAGTCGTTTTGATTTTTGTCTGTGGGCTTGCTATTTGTCCGCGGCTAGGACCCTAACAGAGTCATGGTGGACCTGGGAACAACAGCAATTAAGAGGTGGTGCCACGCTCCTCAAAACTTCCCTCTCAGAGGCCTTGCTGTCAGATATAACATCGTACACACTGAAAGGATCAGGCGTATCTATCCATCTATCTCGTTGTGTTCATATCTATCTATCTATCTATCTATCTATCTATCTATCTATCTATCTATCTATCTCAATATATATATATATATATATATATATATATATATATATATATCGGTTTCTTCATTATCTATCTATCTATCTATCTATCTGTTTTGGTCTCTATCTATCTATCTATCTATCTATCTATTTTGGTCTCTTCATATCTTTTTCTTTCTTTCTATCTATCTATATTTTTGTCTCTTCATATCTATCTATCTATCTACCTATCTATATTTTTGTCTCTTCATATCTATCTATCTATCTATCTATCTATCTATCTATCTATCTATCTATCTATTTTGGTCTCTTCATATCTATCTATCTATCTATCTATCTATCTATCTATCTATCTATCTATCTTTTTGTCTCTTCATATCTATCTATCTACCTATCTATCTATCTTGGTCTCTTCATATCTTTTCTATCTATCTATCTATCTATCTATCTATCTATCTATCTTTTTGTCTCTTCATATCTATCTATCTATCTGTTTTGGTATCTATCTATCTATCTTTTTGTCTCTTCATATCTATCTATCTATCTATCTATCTATCTTTTTGTCTCTTCATATCTATCTATCTATCTATCTATCTATCTATCTATCTATCTATCTATCTATCTATTTTTGTCTCTTCATATCTATCTATCTATCTATCTATATTTTTGTCTCTTCATATCTATCTATCTATCTACCTATCTATATTTTTGTCTCTTCATATCTATCTATCTATCTATCTATCTATCTATCTATCTATCTATCTATCTATCTATCTTGGTCTCTTCATATCTTTTCTTTCTATCTATCTATCTATCTATCTATCTATCTATCTATCTATCTATCTATCTATCTGTTTGTTCAGTGTCTGATGTGTATATATTTACATGCAACTAGATGCATATATTCATGCGAGTATCGATGTGTACATCCCGAGTAATGCATATGCTTTCTCGTGTGTCGATGCTTATCTTCTCAGCGTGTGTCTGGGTATTTGATTGTGTCCACATTTTTGACAAATGACAACCAAGCTGGTGATGCGAAAGGACGATTCTTGATGACGCGTGGCAAATGCACATCTTTTTTTTTTCAGCCAATCAGTGACCAGGAATTAATTAACATCGATCTTTACTCCCGCCAAAATATTTGAGCGTAAGAAGCAGGAAAAAAACACACACACATAAACTAAATAAAAGACGACTTAGGAAAGTCGGAGAAAAAAAATGGATGTAAAGTATTTTGCGTGGAAACATGAAGGAATATTAAAATAGAAACGACGAGGGGAGGTGGGAAATAATTGAATGAAAAAATAAATGAGCTGAGTTCTTCAGATTTAGAATGAAAAAACACACAGAAGAACTCGGCGAAAGAGAATAAAGTAATGAGTGAGAAGTCAGACAAAACAGATTCGAAAATAGTCAAAGATTTGAGATAAATTCAGTAAAGAAAGAGGAATAAAAATGAAAAGAAGCAAGAAAGAAGAGAAAAAAAGTTTTTCCTTTCCTCCTTTCTTTCGTCCCTTTTCTGAAAAGAAGAGTAGGAATATTAGAAACAAAAAAGTAGTGAAAAAAAATGTGAAAGTGAAAGTAAAAAGAATATAATGGAAGTGAAAAAGTGAAAGTGAAAGTCAAAAAGAAAGTGAAAGTAAAAGTAAAACAATAAAGTGAAAGTCAAAAAATTGAAAGTGAAGTAAAAAAGAAAGTGAAAGTCAGTTTCAAAAAATAAAGTAAAAGTCAGTGTCAAGAAAGAAAGTGAAAGTAAAATGAAATTGAAAGTGAAAGGGAAAGTAAAAAAGAAAGTGAAAGTCAAAAAAGGAGATGAAATTAAAATCAAAAAGAAAGTGAAACTTGAAGTCAAAAAAGAATAAGATAAGGAAACGGAAGGGAGGTAGGAAAATTACAAGAGCAACGAAAATGCAGAAAAATAAATAATGAAAGAAGCGAGAGATGGAGCTAGGAAGGAAATAAAATAAAGAAGAAAATGAAACTCTAGAAGAAAAATAAAAAAAGAATGGAAGAAAAACGACGAGTGAAAGGAAAATTGAAATCTAGACGAAAAGGAAGAGAGAAAGGGAGATGGGAGGACCAGAAAAATGAAACAAAAAAAGAAACAGTAACAAAGAAGAGAAGAGAGAAAGAGAAAGGAAGAAAAATGAAAGTGGAATGGGAGAAAAAACAGCGAATCAGATGAAGATAGAAATTGAAATAAAAAGAACAAAGAAAAAAAAACATTGAAATAAAAGCTGAATAGAAAATGGAGAGAAAAATGTGAAGAAAGAAAAGGTGAGGCGAATAAAAGGTATAGAGGCAAAGAGGAATGAAGGAGACAAAGAAAGAAAAATAAATTATAAAATGTGAAAGATAAATAGTAAAAAGAAAACATGGTAAAAAATAAATCCAATTGAGAATAGGGGGAGAGAAAGAGAAGAGGAAAGAAAATACAAGGTAGAGAACTGGAATAAAAATTAATTAAAAAAGGAGCGAAAAGATAAACAAAAATAGAAAGAGAAAAGAAGTATTGAAAAACGAAAATGAGAAGAAAAAAAACGAAAGAACGAAAAATCTTAAAAGAAAAATGTCTGAAGATAAAAAGAAAGATAAAAAGAAAGAAAGAAAGAAAATAAGGGTAGTTGAGAAAAGGATAGCGAGAAAGAAAGCATGAAAGAAAATGAGAGAATAGAGAAGAAAGAAAGAAAGAAAGAAAGAAAGAAAGAAAGAAAGAAAGAAAGAGAAAGAAAGAAAGAAAGAAAGAAAAAAAGAAAATAAGGGAAGTTGAGAAAAGGATAGCGAGAAAGAAAGCATGAAAGAAAATGAGAGAATAGAGAAGAAAGAAAGAAAGAAAGAAAGAAAGAAAGAAAGAATGAATGAAAGAAAATAAGGGAAGTTGAGAAAAGGATAAAGGAGAAAGAAAGAATGAAAGAAAATGAGAGAATAGAGAAGGGAAAGAAAGAAAGAAAGAAAGAAAATAAGGGAAGTTGAGAAAAGGATAGCGAGAAAGAAAATGAAAGAGAATGAGAGAATAGAGAAGAAAGAAAGAAAGAAAGAAAGAAAGAAAGAAAGAAAATAAGGAAGTTGAGAAAAGGATAGCGAGAAAGAAAGCATGAAAGAAAATGAGAGAATAGAGAAGAAAGAAAGAAAGAAAGAAAGAAAGAAAGAAAGAAAGAAAGAAAGAAAAAAAGAAAATAAGGGAAGTTGAGAAAAGGATAGCGAGAAAGAAAGCATGAAAGAAAATGAGAGAATAGAGAAGAAAGAAAGAAAGAAAGAAAGAAAGAAAGAATGAAAGAAAATAAGGGAAGTTGAGAAAAGGATAGCGAGAAAGAAAGCATGAAAGAAAATGAGAGAATAGAGAAAAAGAAAGAAAGAAAGAAAGAAAGAAAGAATGAAAGAAAATAAGGGAAGTTGAGAAAAGGATAGCAAGAAAGAAATCATGAACGAAAATGAGAGAAAAGAAAAGAAAAGAAAGAAAGAAAGAAAGAAAGAAAGAAAGAAAGAAAGAAAGAATGAAAGAAAATAAGGGAAGTTGAGAAAAGGATAGCGAGAAAGAAAGCTTGAAAGAAAATGAGAGAATAGAGAAGGAAGAAAGAAAGAAAGAAAGAAAGAAAGAAAGAAAGAAAGAAAATAAGGGAAGTTGAGAAAAGGATAGCGAGAAAGAAAGCATGAAAGAGAATGAGAGAATAGAGAAGAAAGAAAGAAAGAAAGAAAGAAAGAATGAAAGAAAATAAGGGAAGTTGAGAAAAGGATAGCGAGAAAGAAAGCATGAAAGAAAATGAGAGAATAGAGAAGAAAGAAAGAAAGAAAGAAAGAAAGAAAGAAAGAAAGAAAGAAAGAAAATAAGGGAAGTTGAGAAAAGGATAGCGAGAAAGAAAGCATGAAAGAAAATGAGAGAATAGAGAAGGAAGAAAGAAAGAAAGAAAGAAAGAAAGAAAGAAAGAAAATAAGGGAAGTTGAGAAAAGGATAGCGAGAAAGAAAGCATGAAAGAGAATGAGAGAATAGAGAAGAAAGAAAGAAAGAAAGAAAGAAAGAAAGAAAGAAAGAAAGAAAGAAAGAAAGAAAGAATGAAAAGAAAATAAGGGAAGTTGAGAAAAGGATAAGGAGAAGGAAAGCATGAAAGAAAATGAGAGAATAGAGAAAGAAAGAAAGAAAGAAAGAAAGAAAGAAAAAAAAAAGAAAATAAGGGAAGTTGAGAAAAGGATAGCGAGAAAGAAAGCATGAAAGAAAATGAGAGAATAGAGAAGAAAGAAAGAAAGAAAGAAAGAAAGAAAGAAAGAAAGAAAGAAAGAAAGAAAGAAAGAATGAAAGAAAATAAGGGAAGTTGAGAAAAGGATAGCGAGAAAGAAAGCATGAAAGAAAATGAGAGAATAGAGAAGGAAGAAAGAAAGAAAGAAAGAAAGAAAGAAAGAAAGAAAGAAAAGAAAGAAAGAAAGAAAGAAAGAAAGAAAAGAGAGAAACAAACGCGGGAAAAGAAAGAAAGAAAGAAAATAGCAAGAAAAGAAGAAAATAAAGAGAAAGTAAGAGAATGCGGGAGACAACTGTAGAAATAGCGAGAAAGAAAGAAAGAAAGAAAGAAAGAAAAAAAAAAAGAAAATAAGAAAATGTATAAAAATGTGCAACGAATGAAAATATATGAAAAATAATACAAACCAGGAATAAAAGAGAATTAATAAAAATCAAGGAAGAAAATACTTTTAAAAAAAGAAAGGATGGAATAAAATAATAAGAAAAGTTTTAACAAAGAAAATGATAGAGCAATGGAGTGAGAAAAAGAGAGTGGAAAGCCTTTTGTGTAACGAAAAAGAGTTTTGACAAATGATAAACGTTGATAACGATGAAAAAAAAATGAAGTAACATCCGAAGATAAACGAAAGTCGTAAAAAGCCCCCCCCCCCAAAAAAAAATGTAGCAAAGCATAACAGAATTGAAGGAATCAATAAACGAACAGGAATGAAGGAATTATTGAAGCAGTGTCTGTGGAATACTTTAAACCATTAGAATGTTGACGTGAATGACAACAAATTTAGAATCTGTCAAGGAGGAAATAAAAAAAAAACGAAAATAGCGCGTAAAAATTAAATAATGAAAAATAAAAAAGGCCAATCATATTTTTAAAAATGGCAGAAAAAAAACTTTCGTAGAGAAACAGAAAAGCGAAAATGACACTATAAAAGAAAATAACGAAATTCACGTAAAAATAAATGAGAGTAATATATATATATATATATATATATATATATATATATATATATATATTCGAAAGACTGTTAAAACTACTGATTACTTGAAGAATAATAAATATATCACGCTCATAATATAACAAGTGTTCATAATAATATGGTCGTAATATAAAATTCGGTTATTCCTTTAAAAATTGTCGGATGCATAACGGATTTATGACTAGGGTTGAGTTTGGTTTTATGGATTTATCAACGCTTCTGCCTGAATTTCTCTGATGAAATTATTAATATTTCTGTTGCTTACAAGCGGACAATTGTCCTCATCTTTGTTGTTGTGATGACAACCTTTCGGTTATTGGGCTCCCCCGGCCTTCATCAGGCTTGATGCGTATAACCTTTATAGAATTCTCATTCAACTGCCGGTTTCTCGAGATATGTCTCTTTTAATTCTTATTTATCACTGCTCAGTTATTACATGTACCGTTTCAATTGAATTCAAGCACATACTACGCATCCTGAAAGAATCAACGAGGATCCCCTTAGTAGGCATAGCGTAGAAACAGATACGATATGGGAGCCGTTAATAAAGAAAGACAAAAGACAGCAAGGTTTTAACAGCCGCAGTAAAAAGAGAAGCTTCGACGAGTGCACTCAGGATATATTTTGTCTGTATATCCCCGCCTTACATCAGTGGAACAAAACATTGGTCATTCTAAACCCGTAATGAATGCTTGCCAGGCTTATATATATATATATTTTTTAAGCAATAGAATTTACAACATTTTCTTTTGTTCGCCCAGTGCATGGCCCAAGAGCCACTCACTGTAGAAGGTTCTTAAACGAGTTTGGTCTTAAGGCGTACCCAGTAATCAAAGCAGCTGAAATTTTTCATGGTTCAGAAATATCATACCGAATTGTGGCGTAAGCACGGAAAAAAACTCGTTCGATTGTGAGGACTAAAGGATCCAATAAAATTTGGGTTTACAACGGCTGCGAGGTTACATCTTCTACCCCTAGATTTATAAAGGGCCTTAACACTAGGGTATGCCAATAGGAAGAATAGAGGCGGCAATTTAACTACTGTATAGAATACATTTCTAGTTATTAGATTGTTCGGAAAATAATATCCTTTTTGAGAATCATCTTTTATTCCTGAATTCATGTATTTAAACAGTGTTCACATCATTCAAAATAAGAACCCTGAACGTCTATACATTTCTGACATCGTGTTTAGATGTAATTTATGCCCTTACGTTAAAACTCAATAGTTTGAACGCCATAAAAAAAATTGAATGCAGTTTCGGCATTTTCATTGTAACTGATTGTCTTTTGGCTTAAATAATTGTCAAGATTGTCAAAGTGCCTATTTACATTATTCAGACTATTGTCCTCATCTTTGTCGCCATATTTATTACAACGTTTCGGCCCTTCAGTATCTGTCTATATTTCTGAGATGAGGTATCATGTACATTATTTACATTATTCGGACTATTGTCCTCATCTTTGTCGCCATATTTATTACAACGTTTCGGCCCTTCAGTATCTGTCTATATTTCTGAGATGAGGTATCATGTACATTATTTACATTATTCGGACTATTGTCCTCATCTTTGTCGCCATATTTATTACAACATTTCAGCCTTTCAGTGTCTGTCTATATTTCTTGGATGAGGTATTATGTACACTATTTACATTATTCGGACTATTGTCCTCATCTTTGTCGCCATATTTATTACAACATTTCAGCCTTTCAGTGTCTGTCTATATTTCTTGGATGAGGTATTATGTACACTATTTACATTATTCGGACTATTGTCCTCATCTTTGTCGCCATATTTATTACAACATTTCAGCCTTTCAGTATCTGTCTATATTTCTGGGATGAGGTATTATGTACACTACTTACATTATTCGGACTATTGTCCTCATCTTTGTCGCCATATTTATTACAACGACACGACCGTTCAGTATCTGTCTATATTTCTGCGATGAGGTATTATGTACATTATTTACATTATTCGGACTATTGTCCTTATCTTTGTCGCCATAGTTATCACAACGTTTCGGCCGTTGTACGCTCTGGCCTTCTTCAGTTGATTGGAATGTCGAACTTAACCCTTTATTTCGCTCACTGGGGTAGACTGTTCTAGTTCCACGTGCCATGTTTAATGGATGTCAGTTATCAGTTATCTCCTGTTAATTCCCCTCTCCAATTAATTTGCATGATACCTAGACATGAATGATTATCTAATTATACCCGAAAATATATTTTATTAATAAACAATTATTATATACGATAAGTACATTTTCAAAATTGAATTTACAATTGCCTATACGCTTGAGTACTCAACAACGAAGGCATGCGTAAATAGTCATTTATACACACACACGTACACACGCACTTATATGTTATTGTTATACGTTATTTATATAGACACAATTAAGTAAATGCTCTGTTTATAATAAACAGTATTAAACAACATTTACCGGCCTGGACGTCTGAGAAACTTTCATAGAAAATATGCGTCCTCCGAGAGGAATCGAACCTGTATCCTATACGGAACCTGGCATATAGCCTGACGTGCCTTAACGGTTTGGGTCACAGAGAAACGTTCGTTTAGCAAGTTCGTTTTACTATTTTTACACACTATTCTCTATGATTTTCTCTCATTCATTCATATCTGCTAAATGCGTATCCAAATGTAAACAAATGACGTTGCACATTATGAAATGAACAAAGTCCGACAATTATTTTAAAACATTTTTTTATGTTCATACATTCTTTTTTTATAAATACAAATTATTTAAGTTTATAATAAACAGTATTAACAACATTTACCGGCTTGAACGTCCGAGAAACTTTCATAAAAAATATGTGTCCACAGACAGGTATCGAACCTGTTTCCTATACAGAACCGTCATATAGCCTGACATGCTCTACCAGTTTAATTACAGAGGAACGTCTGGATAGCAAGGTCGATTTAAATTGTAATTTAAAAGCAGTAAAATCGACCTTGTTTACCAATTTCTCACAGATGTGATGTGGCTTCACTCCGTATTTTCTACAAATATTTCCATGACCTCTTCTCTGATAAGCTATTATCACTGGTACCCCGACTGCATGAATTTAAGCGTGCTACTAGGTTGGCATCTCGATCCCGCTCCTTTTACCGTCGAAACATGTAAATGTAACCGCCTCTTATACTCCAATTGCTTTTTCTCTCGCACTTCCAAACAGTGGAACTCCCTTCCTCTTACTTGCTTCCCTGGTGGCTATAATCTTCAAATATTCAAATGTAATGTCAATCGACATCATCTGATGATGTGATCTTGATCCCCGTAATTTTCTCTATCGTTTCCTAAAACACCCCTCTTTACTCTTGCTATCACTCATTGAAACCCCTTTCGTGCTAGTGGCACTCCCGCCTTGCTTGGGGTGAAATGCTTAAAAAATATCTGCGAAGTGTTTTGAGGAAGGACGGAAAATGCGACACCGAAATCCGAAGGCGCATTGGCAGTGAGAAAGATACCTTCCCAAAGCTAAGCAAAGTATTAAGAAACAGGAAAATCCCGGAAAATCCTGGAAAATATTTTAAAAGAGGACGGAAAATGCGACACCGAAATCCGAAGGCGCCTTCCAAAACCTAAGCAAAGTATTAAGAAACAGGAAAAACCTTTGTTAGAAACGAAGACAAGTGTGCTGATCCGTTACGTGATATCAGCCCTCCTTTATGGCAATGAATGCTGCGCAATCTCTTTTGAGATGAAGAAGAGACGTGAAGCAACAGAAATGTAGTTCTACAGAAGGATGCTGAGGATACCATAAACCGAACAGCAACGACATTAAGAGAAAATGGAAACTGAAAGGAAAATTATGCTTAGCATCATGAAATGACAGTTTAAATTTCTAGTGCACATAACGAGGACAGAGGGCTTGAGAAATCTGACACTCACAGGACAGACTGAAAGCAAGAGTGACAGAGGAAAACAACGTATGATATACTTAGTGAGCTTGAGTAAATATATGGCGGGACAAGGTTTAAGAGAGATAAGAAAAAGAAAAAAATATTAAAAGCTAGAAAGGACGTTATGGAGAGCCATGATCGCAAACGTCCTGAGAGGACACGACATATAAAGAAGAATTGAAAGTTCATTCATAGATATTATGTTTCATCCTCGTTTTCTTCCTAGTAACGTGGTTTGTTGGGGTAGGTGTTAGATATTTATACAAATAATTCTATGTCGCACCCCCTAAATCCTAAAATATATTTTCTCTCGCACGGACGGATGTAACCAGGATTAAAGCCTCCATTAGCCATTTAGACGCGGGGACGTAGTTTCAGTGAAATAACAAAACCGGCAGATCAGATTTAAGGATTCAACGTTAGCCAATCAAACGGGAGATCGAGAATCTAAAATTTTGGTCAAGTTGAGCCTATCACTATCGATATAAGCAGATGAGAATCAGTATTTAAGCAGATAGCGGTATAGTGACCATATCGATGGACCAGGAATGACAAACCGGAGAACTAACGACCCGCCGATAGATAATTAGATTTATTTGTAAGTACGAGCTTCGCAAACTTAAACCAAATACACCCCCACGAAAATCTTACACGTGTAAATTATGACCGGTATTTGCCGTTCTAACAACAAACTTATCGCTCTGAAAGTGACTCATCCTTTTACGTTTTCAATTTTTCGCCTAAAATAGTTTTTATTGCTTACTAGCAGTAGAGCCCGGCGTTGCCCGGGGATGTAACAGTAAGAGATAGATCAAGACTGAAAAAATAAAAATTGACAAAGATTATTGTTTAAGGTTGACGGACACGCATGTCTTAATTAGTTTTTTTGTTTTTTTTTTGTTTTTTTTTTTTACTAATTGCTCAAACCCAAACTCAAACAAAAACATTGTTTTCAATCGTTATGAGTCTATCGACTGAACAGCATTTTATTATAAACAATTGTCTTGTAAATGGAATTTTTAAAGCATTCTGAATGTAAAAATAAAGAAAAAAGTGTGCAAGACAATAAGAAACACTACCTGCCCCCCCCCAAAAAGTGAAGTTTTGTTGAAATCGGTTGATAAATGTAGGAAATCCGATCCAATATATAAATGAACACACACACACACACACACACACACACACACACACACACAACCTGGGTTTTATAATAAGTATAACTCGATATGAGTTGTCCCCCTTTCATTATGGCGACAGAATCGTGTTTTATCGTGTTTTCAAATTGATTTCATGCAAAAACAATTGCATTTTTCCAATTTTTGGCGCCGTCAGAACCACCGCAAGGAAATTCTACGTAGTCCTGTGAAGTTTTGTTGAAATCGGTTGAAAAATGTAGGAAATCCGATCCAATATATAACCGTTACAGACACACACACACACACACACAATCTGCGTTTTATAATAAGTAAGATTCTATAAAATTATGTTTTCATTTATTCATGCTTCTATGGTTAGAGGCGTTGCTACCTTAGGACCGGCGAAACAAATTTTAGCCATAACACCCACTACATAAATGTTTTTTTCCGATTCTATCCCCCAAATTTGCATTATAGTTTTTTAAAAAAATATCTTAATAAATATTTTTTCCATGTTATTGTCATATACAAAGAAAAATGAATAGCAACCGACACAAAGGTTCGAGCGTGACACTCTGGGCTTATAAATATATGTTTTTAGCCAGGTGTGTACATAGTGTTGTCAGTCTACTGACTGCAGTGATTACTGAGTGACTACTGAGTGGAACTATCCAGTCGAATTAGTGTGAATTATTGTGCGTCGATGATTTAGGCTTTGATTTAGGTTTTACCGGACGTTAAGCCGAGCCGCGCTACTAACAAGGTATTCACTGAAATGGTTAATTAATTATCTTTAGTTGACTTTTATTTCTTTGTTCTTGTTAAGTATTTATTCGCGGTTGTTTTATCTTAACATTCCAGTCACAAAAGCTACTAATTTTTAATTCAGATTTTTAAAAATGCCATTTATAAGCAAATTTTATTTTTATATTTCGTCGTGTTTGTATAAAGAAAATTTACTTCTGCCTTGGCAAAATCCAGTACTAACTTACAGCGTTCATAATAAGCATTGTTGTCATCTGATATTTCTCATTTGTCCAAATTAGCCGAATGTATCCGAAAAAATCAAATTATTTAAATAATAATGGGTTATCAACTAGGTATCTATGCTGATGATACAACTATTTGCTGATGTCTTAATAATGTAGATCTGATCAGTTCGATGTGGACAAATTGGCAGCTCATCTAAAAACTGATCTACAATCTGTTGTTAAACGGGGCAAGGAATGGCTTGTTAAATTACTCTCTCTTAATCATCTGAGAGAATGTTTTTAAGTAATAATAATAATTTCCATGGTGCTACATGATTATACGTCTTGCTGATGACACACCTATTTACTCTTGTATAAAGAGTAAGCCTGATCGGTTCAATAAGGTCAAATTGACCGCTGATCTGAAAAATGACCTAAAATCTGTTGTTAAATGGGGCAAGGAATGGCTTGTTAATTGTAACGCTTCCAAAACGAAACTCATGTAGAAAAACGATGAAAAGTAAAAAAAAAAGACGAGGATATAAAAAGGGAATGACAAAAAAGTGATGGAAGGAAAAAGAAAAGTGAAAAGATTAAGAAGAGAATAAAGGGAAGTGAAAGAGACAGAGAAAGAGAAGAAAAGATATAAAAGATGAATAAGTACAAAAAATGAAAAAAGAGAAAGAAAAAAAAGGAATGAAATGGAAAAAAAAAAGATTAAGATTAGGATAATCAAAAAAGAAAGAAGACGAAATAAAAACATTTATTTTCATTTTTATTACGCAACAATAACTTTTAACTGTTGTTAAACGGGGCAAGGAGTCACTTGATAACTTTACCGTCTCAAAAACGAAACTGCTCTGTTTTCATCATCTAAAAGAACCATTCATACCTTCCGTCAGTATGGCTGATGCTAACCTACACGAAAGTGACTCATTGAACCTTCTTTAACTAACGTTTTCTGCTGACAAAAAGGAAAAAGTATATCGAATCAATTGCTAAGTCTGTGGCTAACAAAGTTCTTTCAGTATATCTTGCTAGACAATCTTTATCTCCACAACTTGCCTGGTGCTTCTGATATATGTTAGAGAATCAGCAATATTATTGGTCCCGATCTGGCATCTCGGCTTCAGTCAATTTTCATCGCCGTAACATAGCTTCCCTGTGCCTTATAAATACTTTCACGGTAATTGTTCTGATGAAGTTTCCGCTGTGGGAACTCGAATTGATGGTACCTCGCAGTACCAGATTGGGGGCAAGTGCATTTTATAGTCGAAATGTAACCGCAAGTTCTATGCTAACAGTTTCTTCTATCGCTCTTTTCGCTTTTGAAACGCACTTCCGGGTTCATGCTTCCCAATTAACTTTGATCTTCAGAAATTTAAATGCAATGTCAATTGTTATCTTCTGTCTTCTTAATTCTTGTTCTTTCATTGTCCTCTCTCCTTAATAGTAGTTTTTATCCTATTATATAACACCCAGTAATCGTTTGCATCTTAGTGGCTTTATTGCCTTTGAATCTTCAGAAATTTAAATGCAATGTCAATTGTTATCTTCTGTCTTCTTAATTCTTGTTCTTTCATTGTCCTCTCTCCTTAATAATAGTTTTTATCATATTATCTAACACCCAGTAATCGTTTGCATCTTAGTGGCTTTATTGCCTTTGAATCTTCAGAAATTTAAATGCAATGTCAATTGTTATCTTCTGTCTTCTTAATTCTTGTTCTTTCATTGTCCTCTCTCCTTAATAATAGTTTTTATCATATTATCTAACACCCAGTAATCGTTTGCATCTTAGTGGCTTTATTGCCTTTGAATCTTCAGAAATTTAAATGCAATGTCAATTGTTATCTTCTGTCTTCTTAATTCTTGTTCGTTTATTGTCCTCTCTCCTTAATAGTAGTTTTTATCCTATTATCTAACACCCAGTAATCGTTTGCGTCTTAATGGCTTTATTGCCTTGCTTGAGGTGGAATGATTAAAAAAATTAAATCAAAATAATCTACTTAAACAGATTTCATTTTATATAATTGTATATATTTATATATACTTTAATTTTATATATTATATATATTTAAATAGATAATTATTTAAACAACTGAAAAGATAATAAATTTGCTGGATTAATTTTTGTTATTATTAATAATACAAACAGTTGAGATATAATCCAATGTTTCTTTTAAGAGCAGCTCTATGTAACGATGACTAGAGTAGGAAATTTATGGGGACTTAGTTTAATGACAAAAAGAACCTTAGAAAACAGATATCTAGCTGAAAATGTTGTTTATACAGAAATTTTATTTTATTTTTTTCTCTGTTCGTGTGATGGGTATTCGACGAGTGAACGAGGATAAAAGAAAGAAAAAAACGAAGGAAATTTGGAATGAAAGTATCAGGAAGAAATTATGGATAGAAGGATCAAGAAAAGAAGCAAAGCGGGGGGGAATGACGAAGGAACGAAGTTGTGAATGAAAGAAATCAGGAAGAAAGAGAAAAAAAATTCTGATGGAAAAATAAAATTTAAAATCCAGAAGTCGTCCAGGCTGAAATAAAATAAAAAAAATCATTCGAAAGGAAATAAATAGAGAATGAAGGAAATCGGGAAAGAAGACTAGAGGAAAAACATTAAGAAGGAAAATAAATGTAAAGAAATAATGAAGAATAAATGAAGCTAAGAAAAATAAACGCAGTAAA